CGGCCTGCTGCCGCCCCGCCCGCCGCTGCGGCCCCCGCTGCGGCCCCCGCGCCGCCGTGGAAGGTGGCGTGCCCTAGGTCCAGTCGGCGCTGCAACGATGAGTTGCGGACGTCCTACCAGAACCTCCTGAAGGAGGGAGGCGGATCCAAGCAGGACCGCTTCCGAGCCAGGGCTTGGCTTGCAAAGGACAAGGCCAAGCAGAAGCAGAGCAACAGCCACCTGGCCAAGGTGAGGCGCAGCCGGCAGAAGAAGACGCAGCAGGCCAAGAAGGCCCACGGGACGCACTTCCTTCGGAGACCTCGGCCATGTTTTGGCCGCCCTGCTGCTCGCGCGCCTGGCCCTTGCGGGCCTGGTGGAGCAGACGTGGGCAAAGCTCACCCCGCGGCTGGGGGCAGCCCTACGGTTCACGCGCACCCACCTCAGCGTCAAGCTTGGCGAGAAGAGCGCCGAGGCCTACAAGCTCCTGGCTTCGACGGCGCTCCCGCGGCGGGCGGCGATCGTGGCCGCCGTGGAGTACGGGCGCAACTCGGGCGAAGCCAAGGACCAACCAGCCACAACTGCGGGAAATTCATACTGTTTCGACTGAGCGAAGGTGAACAAGTCGACCAGGAAGAAGCTGTTTGACCTCTCAACCAACAAGCGGTCGATCTAAACGCTAACCGAAGAGTTGCCTCTCGCAGCCTGCGGGCCGCAGTGTTTCAATGCGCCAGTGTAAGCAGGTCTGGTGCAAGTGTACAGCGGGTGCGAGCGCGGCCCTGCGCTGGCCGGGATGACATGCGCGACTGCCGCGCAACGCCGCGCTGGAAGCCCGCGGCGTCTGGCTCGACGCACGATGCGCGGGTGCCATGCGCGGCCAAGGGTGCACTTAATTCAGTTAGGATTTACACGGCGATCGGGCGTCGCCCGACGGAAGGGGGGGGCAGCCGAGATGGCCACTGCCCTGCACTGGAGGGGCATGCGCAGAGGGTGAGTGGCTGAGCAGGCCAATACGCGGGATTGAGAGCTTGAGCATATGTTCATACTGTTTCGCCTCGCGATCGTCATGGGTAAAACAGAGCTGCCTCTCTTCAAACGCAATCCACTTTCTAGCTGTAGGTCGGACCCCAAGGGGCCGATCGGACAGTTTTCACAACTCTTGGACAATGGACATCACACTTGTTTCGACCCCCGCTTGTGGCTAAGAAAGCCCCGATAGGGTCCAGGAATTGATCCCAAGATGACCCCGATAACGTCTTCAATCCACAAAGAAGGTGCTCAAGAGACCCCCTGAGGGCCCAAAGAGGTTCCCATGATGTCTAAAACGGCTCCAAGAGATTACGCGCGCGCTGTTGTTGTTTCTGTCGGTATGCGCGTCGTGCATTCGTAGTTGTATCATGTGTACTGGTATTTGTCATGATGCCTATACTATGTTTCTACATGTCTCTGTATATCTGCATAACACATACACATATATGCCATCTGTTTTCTATGACCATGTATGTATGTATTTCTATGAATATATACATATATATATATGAATATATATCTATATTAATATATATATATTAATATATATATGTATATATATATTAATATATATATATAGTATATATAAAATATATGGTATATTGTTTATGTGTGTATTACGACGGATCAACCTTACGAAGTTTAAGAACAAATCATTATGTCCTGCCCCGAAACGGTCCTGGGGGGGGGGGCGGACGCGGCCATATGCCAACCAAATAAGTGAACCAAGCCCTGCGCTCTCGGAGGGTCTTCGGTTCACTTATTTTCGGTACCCAGAAGTCCCAGGGATCTGCCCCAAACAGCCCAAGACAGCCGCGGGGAGCCCCAAGAGAGGGCCTCGTGGCGCCCCGAGACGGCCAGGATGTCCACGGAGACCGCAGGAGGCCACAGGGGTTTCCAGAACATCCCAGAAGGCCCCAGGATATCTCAGTAGGTTACAGGAGGTACCAGGATATCACAAGAAGCCCCAGAAGGCCCCAGGAGGCTCCATAATGCATCAGGAGGTCCCAAGCGGGTCCAGACGGTCCTATGAGGCACCAGGAAGTTTCAGGAAACCTCAGGAGGTACCAGGGGCTCCAGAAGGCATCAGGATGCCCCATGGGATCCAGAAGGCCTCAGGATGCCCCATGTGTTCCAGAAGGCTTCAGGGGGCCCCATGGGCTCCAAAAGGCCTCAGGGGGCCCCATGGGCTCCAGGAGGCCTCCAGGAGGCCTCAGGAGGCCCATCCGGGGGGATACCCGTATCCCCTCCTGGTCGGCCCGACGGGAGGGAGGGAGGGAGGGGAGGGAGGAGGAGGGAGGGGAGGGAGGGAGGGAGGGAGGAGGAGGAGGAGGAGGGAGGAAGAGGAAGAGGAGGAGCAGGAGAGAGGCAAGAGGAGGAGGAGCAAGAGGAGCAAGAGGAACAAGAGGAGGAGGAGGAGGACGGAGGAGGGGGAGGAGGAGCAGAGGAGGAGGAGAGGAGAAGGAGGAGGAGGAGCAGGAGGAGGAGGAGGAGGAGCAGGAGGAGGAGGAGGAGGAACAGGAGGAGGGAGGAGGAGGAGCAGGAGGAGGAGGAGGAGGAGGAGGAGGAGGAGGAGGAGGGGAGGAGGACAATGGACACTGGATTGGCTTGCCCCGAAAGAAGCAGGTCCAGGAAATTACTAGGCAGCAGGCAGCGACAAGACGCAGGATCGATCGCCGCGCTCGGAGGCCGATGGGGCCAACAGCGCAGGGCCGACCTGCACCGATCCAGCGCCTCGCCCGAGACCGCGGCGCGGATGGCGCCGGGCGCCAGCCACGCTGCCGAGGCGGGGCGCCCAGACGCGCGGGCGCGGCACCCGCTGCAGCCCGTGGCTCTTGCCCCTGCCCGCGTACCCCGCGGCGTGGCCGCCCGCTCGTGCTCACGCGGGCGGCGGCGGCCGGCCTCGTCCCCAAGCAGGCAGGCAGAGCCGTCCACGGCGAGCTGCGCGCCGGCAGCAGAGCCGCGAGCACGCGGGGCTCTCGTGGCACTCCGCGGGCAGCGGCACCTCGTGGCACCAGGGCGCCGTGGCGTGCGGGCGCCGCAGGCGCCCTCGGAGGCGCACCGGCCGATCGCGGGTCGGCCCTGACTCCGGATCCGCCCTACTTTGGGGAAATTCGTAAGTAGGGCTTGGAGTTCCCGCCTTACTTTTCAAGCCCCGCTGATGCCAGTTTCCGCCCTACTTTTCCGTCGCTGTTTCCGCCCTATTTCTGTGGATTTCCGCCCTATTTTGCGGTGGGTGCAGGAATTTCCACCATACTTGTTCGACTTCTTATAGGTGGATTTCCGACGCAATTTCAAGTTGGAAAAAAGGCCAAAGTAGGGCGGATCTGGAGTCAGGGGGCAGTGTGGCCACCGCCGGCAGCAGGAGGAGGACGTGTGCACGGCCTCCTTCCTCGCCCGGGAGCGGCACCGGCACGCCGCGAGCACCGCCCTTCGCCGGACGGCGCGGCTCCCGCGCTTCCGCGGGCGCAGCGCGCGCCCAGGCGGCGTGGGCCGGCAGCCCCCGGGCAGCACGTCGCGGAGCCGCCGAGCAGCGCCTGTCGGTATCGTTTATCAAGAGGGGAGAAAACACACACACACAGACACAATGAATCGTCGGTCCCCAGGAAAATAGGGGAAAATATGGGAAGTGTGGGGGGGAAGGCAAACACCCAGAACATGTGGGAAAATATGGGGAATAGTTTTATTTGTGTGTATCTATTTGTGTGTCCTGGGGCCCCTTCAGTTTAACCGATCCCCATCCCCATCCCCATCCCCTTCGAGACCCCCACCAAATTACCACCCCTGTTGGGGATACACCCCTCGAAATCCAAAGGGAACGACCTGTATCCCCGTCCAGGGGGGTAAATCGGCCAGTGGGGCCCAGGCCACGCCGCCGGGGATGGGGATCGGTTCAACGATGCTCAGCCTGAGCGGCGCGCACGTGCCGCAGAAGGACAAGCGGCGTAACCACACGCTTTCGGAGGTCCGCGCGGATTTCTTAGATCTGCGCTGGACCCCCCTCCCTGGCGCGCGCGGAGCGGCCAGGAGGAGGATCCTGAAAGCATTCATATGTTGCTTGCATGTGTTTTGTTCGAGTGTTCGCGCGGCCCGCTTAGCTTCGACCGGAAAAGGTGCGCTCTCGACCCGCGAATCAAAACATGTGTTTTGTTCGAGTGCATCCCGGAGTTGAAAAATTGACTTGCTGGCTGGCTTACGGACTGACTGACTGATTCACGGATTGGATTGCCGACTGACGGGGCGCGCCCGTCAGCAGGCCCTTCCGTTCCCGGCCACCGAGAGTGCGCAACTTGCGGCGCAGCCAATGGGTTTTCACGCTCCGCTCGGCCGCCGAGGGCGCAACCTGTGGCGCAGCCAAGAGCAGGCCATCAAGTGTTCGGCCGCCGAGGGCGTAATCTGTGGCGCCATCGCCGGGAGCGCAGCCTGTTGTGCAGCCCATCAGTTGCGCCACCAGCTCCACACCAGGATGTGGGCGGAGGAGAAAGGTCCTTTTCCTCTTCCCTGCCTTGCTTCTTCCCCTCCTCCCAGTGGTCCCACCTCATCCCTTGAAGCTCCTTCTTCCGCCTCCCTCCTCCCAGCTCTCTAACCGTTTCCCCTAACCCCGCTCTGGAGGGCGGCGATGAGGAGAGGGGACAGGGAGAACAGGATGGAGGAGATGGACGACGACGACGACCACGACGACCACGACCACGACAATGACGCCCACGACAACGACAGTGACGAACACGACGACGACGACGACGACGACGACGAAGAGGACGACGACAAGGACGACTGCGACGACGACGACGACGATGGCGACGACGACGACGACAAGGACGACGACGACGACGACGAAGACGACGACGACGTCGACGACGACGACGACGACGGCGACGACGACGACGACAGCGACGACGACGGCGACGACGACGACGACGGCGACGACGACGACGACAAGGACGACGTCGACGACGACGACGACGACGACGACGCGGGGGCCTCACGCCCGGCAGGGCGGAGCCGCTGCGCCAGACCTGCTGCGACGCGCGCGGCGGGATCCTGCAGTGCTCCGTGCTCGGCATGCCCTCGTCGTCCTCGCCGTCCTCGTCGCCGGCCTCGCAGTCACCGTCCTCGCCGTTCTTGTCGTGCCCGAAATGGGTACTGAAAGAATGGGTACGATGCCCAACAGCAGTTCCTGCTCATTTTGAACAGGGCTCGCTGTCCGCGCCGCCGCGGCCTGTGTCCATTCTAGAGAGGAGGCCGCCTGCCCAACAGCGGCCGCTGTTGGTTTGGGACAACATTTGTTGTTGGGCATTGTACCCATTCTTTCGGTACCCATTTCGGGTGTCCAAAGTTCTTGCTGTGCCCTCCCCTTCGAAGAAGAATGAACGCCATAAACACAAACTTGTGGCGCTCCGCGCGGATTTCTTGGGTCCGCGCTGGGGCCCCCCGGCGGCGCACCTCTCGTACAGTGGAGGCCCATGCCAAGAAACACCCTGATTGCCTCCAGGGTGCCCTGGGTCTCTTAAGTTTCGATGGGTTCGCCATGGCAAGCGCGACGTTCCAACACCACAAAACAATGGACGTCCGGGTGTTAAAGGGTTGGGTTTCTTGTGGAAGGTTTCTTGCGGTCCAGCTCTTACTGTAGCGAACAACAGAGTCAAGGTGGACGATTCTTTTTCAGTTTTCGGCCCTCAGGGACCCTTACTGGGCCCCGGGACCGTCAAAAAACGAGATGGGCGGGATGATGAAACGATCCATTGAACGGGTTCCAGATCTCCAGGGTTGCACTCACCGAGCGCGTTCCACTACTCGCAAAGTGCCTACTCGCAAACGTCCGAAACAACATGTAGGTCTTCCGCTCTGTAATGGATCGCAAATGGCTCGCGGCAGATCCAGGCCACTTGCGAGTATAGTTGCTTTGCGAGTAGTGGAACGCGCCTGTCCGAGTAGTGGAACGCGCTTGTCCATACACATTGTGAACAAAGAGCGGTGTCGGAATTCTGGGTTCTCGTCGTCGTCGCCCTCCTGAGCCTGCTCCTCCTCCCTCCACCTTCTTCTCCCCGTCCCTCTCATCCTTTCCTTTTCAGTCTCCTCCGCCCCATTGGTGCGCGCTGACATCACTGGCGCATATGAGTCCGATCCGTCGATCAGGGCTCGAGGTCTAGACAATCCTGCGACCGATCGGAATTCGTGCCCTCGATCGGTTGCTGCCAGCGGTCGCGCTGGCCCAAGGTGGCCCCAATCTTTTCCGGGTAGGCGCAGATGGCTTCCAGAGCACCCCTCACGACGCCCCGATCTGGTGTTGTCAGAGGTGACCCTGGCCCAGAGTGACCTCAGCTATCCCGGGGAGGCCCAGCCAGATGGCCGCAGACCACCCCTCACGATGCCCAGGGGGATCCAGACTGGTGCAAGAAGCAGAGGACACCTGGGGCGGGAATCCCCTCTTGCAGCCTCCGACCTCGACCTAGAGATTGATCAGCCGGGCTGGCTGAATCATGACCAGGACCAGTACCGGGCCGTGGATCCGCGTGAATTTGGGTTTGCCTCCAAGGCCCCGAGAACTTCCCTCTTCTGTGCGGCGACGGCTACTGCAGCGACTTCGAGGAGCTCCGCTGAGTCGCCATCGTCCACCCACATCCTCTTCAGCATGCGTCTTCTTCACTCCTCCCTCCTGATCCTCCGCCTCCGTCCTCCTCCGTCCTCCACCTCCACCTCCTCCCCCTTCCTTTCCTCATTGCGAGAAGGAGGAAATATGAGTCATATGTCTTCCTTTTCGCACCTACTGCCCCTACTTCCATCTCTCACCCATCCTCCTTATCCCCGCGTGCTCATCCTCATCCTCGTCTCCCCCCTCCATTGCACACTAACATCAGCGCGCCAGGCTGGACAGGAGCCTTTTCAAACAAACTGATATCATTACACTTCCTATTCCTCTTTTCACTCCTCTCCTCCTCCTTCCTATTCCCCCTCCTGATCCTCATCCTCCTTCTCCCTCCTCCTCCTCCTCCTCCTCCTCCACCTCATCCATCCTCCTTCATATTCATCCGTCCCATCCTGCTTACCCCCGCATGCTCCTTCTCATCCTTGTCTTCCTCCTCCTTTGCGCACTCAGATCAGCACGCTTGGCCGCACGGGAGCCTTCGCATAGGTCTTGATGTCCAAATTCTTCCTGTTCATCGTTTCCCTCCCCTCCCCCCACTGCATGATCCTCCTCACCCTTGCGTGATCCGCCTCCTCCTCCTCCTCCTCCTCCTCCTCCTCATCATCATCATCATCACCTCCTCATCCTCCTCCTCCTCCCCTCCTCGTCCTCCTCCTCCTCCTCCTCCTCCTCGTCTCCCTTCTCATCCTCCTCCTCCTCCTGCTCCTCCTCTTCCTCCTCCTCCTCGTCTTCCTTTTCCTCCTACTCCTCCTCCTCGTCTCCCTTCTCCTCCTCCTCCTCCTCCTCCTCCTCCTCCTCCTCCTCCTCACCCTCCTTCTTCTCCTCTTCCCCCCCCCCTCTCGAGGAGCTCTGCCAGGGGCGCGGCGGCGTCAGGGAGTGCCCGGGCGCGGAGGAGTGCCCCTGGCTGCTGCCCGCCCCAAGCTCGAGGACCTACGCGTGCAAGGACGTCGGGGCCCACCAACTGCCCCGACGCCGACACCGAGGAGGAGGAGGAGGCGGAGGAGGAGGAGGCGGAGGAGAAGGAGGAGGGAGGAGGACGGGGAGAGGAGAGGAGGAGAAGGAGGAGGAGGAGGAGGAGAGGAGGAGAAGAGGGAGAGGAGGAGGAGGAGGAGGGGGGTGAGGACGAGGAAGAGTCGGAGGGAGGAGGAGGAGGAGAGGAAGAGGAGGAGGGGAGAGGAGGAGGAGGGGAGGAGGAGGAGGAGGAGGCGGTGGGGGAGGAGGAGGGGGAGGAGGAGGGGGAGGAGGAGGAGGAGGAGGAGGGAGGAGGACCAGTGCAAACCCAAGACTCACCAATGATGGTGCTAAGCCCTCCCCCCAAATTCCCTCCTCACAGGTCCAATGCAAGGGTTTATCGAATGGCCTTCGGCCCATCTGCCACCGTGCCTGGGTTGTGGGTCAGATTTCTCAGGAATGCTTCTTGAGGTTTCTTCGGAGTGCTCTCGAAGGCATCTTAGGTCTTGGGTTCTTTGGGGTGCCTCTTGGGGCTTCTTGGAGGCCTCTTGGGGCCTCCTCTTGGGGGCATCTTGGGGGCCTCTTGGGGCCTCATGGGGTCCCTCGGGGCCGAGGACTCGGCATGTCCGTTCGTGTCCCCCATCTGGGCCCCCTCCTGGAGCCGTCTTCGGAACCTCGTGGGCCGCCTTGGGCGCCTCTTGGACCGTATTGGGGAAGTCCTGGGCCGATCTTGAAGGCTTCTGGGGCTGTCTGGGAGCGTCGGGCCACAGAAAATGCGAGACGACGACAAACATTGAACAACAACCGATTGCACAACAATGATGTGGCCCTCCTGGGACCATCTTGGGAGGCCTCTTGGACGCCTCTTGGGGCTTCTTGTAGGCTTCTTGGGCCGTCGTGGGGCCATCTTGGGCGTCTTGGGGTGGTCTGTGGGCGTCTTGGAGCCGTCTTGGGCCGTCTTGGGTGCCTCTTAAGGCCCTCTTGGCCCGTCTTGGGGCCCCCGCGGGTCCGAAAAAGTCACGCGGGGAAATGCGGGACGCACCCGACAAACCGCGAAAAGCCCATGGCGCGTCGGCAATGTGCGGCCCGTACCCTTGAAACGACTCCTTAGGATCGAGGGCTGAGGCTTAACGGATTGGGCGAAGGAACTGCGTACGCGCCCAAGTCGTGCCCAGAGGCCGGGTTGCGCATTTTCATGTCGGGAAGTGCCCCGGTGGAAAGCAATTGTTTGAAAATTACCATTCTTGGGACTGCACCGCTGCGAATCAACGTTACTGTTACGTCCTGACGACCCTGAAACGCGCCAGAATACCGTTCTTGGGACTTCAACACAGCGAACCAGCGTGATTGCTGCGCCCTAGCAATCTTCTATCCTGTCACAACACCATTTCTGGGACGTCAACCATACGAACCCTTGAAACTGCTGCAAACTCTTGAGACGGCTGTGCGCGGCGCTGAGGCGAGAGCCACATAAGGAACCGCCCTCCATCTGTGAAGCTCTTGCAAGCTTTCCAGACAAATGTGCGCGGCGCTACGGCGAGAGATGAGTCGCCCACCATCCGTGAAGCTCGTGCAAGCTTTTAAGGCGAACGTACGCGGCGCTGAGGCGAGAGCCACACGTTGAAAAGGTAGCGCCCTCCATCCGTGAAATTATTGGGCGAATGTGCGCCGCGCCGAGAGCCATAGCCACAGCTTGAAAACGATCTGCCCTCCATCTTCGAACGTCTTGCAAACTTTGCAAGCGAATGTGCGCTGCGCTGAAGGGGATAGCCGCGTGTTGAAAACGGGCCGCCCTCCATCCGTGAAGCTGTTGCGAATCCTCAGCTTAAACACATCAGTGGTGAGGAAGTCTTAGGCGAATCGCCAGGCCCGCCCAACCGACAAGTCCCGGCCTGCGGCCCAAGGAAGGGTCATCTATTAGGAGAAGGGATGGAGGGAGGAGGAGGTGGATGAGAAGGTTGAGGAGGAGAGGGAGAAGGAGGAGGAGGAGGAGGAGGAGGATCATTAGTGGTGAGGAAGGCTCGGGCGAGACGCTTCGGCCCGCCCGACTGGCACGCCTCGGGGTGCGATGGGGAGGAGTTATTCTACACCTTCGCGTAACCCCGCCAGCCCTACCACTGGCACGCGGTGGGCCTGTACGCCACCCCTTCCGCTTCGTTTCCTGCGCCTTCTCCGTGTACTTCCCGTGCTTCCCGGTCGCCATGCCTGCCGCGCCTACGTGGCCTTCGCCGTCGGCACGCTCTTCGGCAGCTGACCGCCGCCTGGTCGGTACCGCGGCTCCTCGCGCGCCGTCGCCTGCACTGCTCTCGCCTTTGCTGCCGGCGCGGCCCGCCTTTTCACGCTCGGCGTTCGACCCGTGTCGCGCGCCCGCTGACCAACAAGTAGACCCACCAGCCCATTCAGAAAAGAGGACCCGACGAGTTGCCCTGATCAGGGATGTGGAGGAGCGTGCAGTGGAATGAGGGGCCGAGTAAGACGTCCGACCCCAAGAGGGAGGAGGCTGGAGGAGGAATCGGAAGAGCATGAGGAGGAGGAGGCGGAGGAGGAGGAGGAGGAGGAGGGAGAGGGGGAGGAGGAGGAGAGATGAGGAAGGAGGAGGATCAGGCGGATGAGGAACAGGAGGAGGAGGAGGAGAAGGAGGAGGAGGAGGGCAAATAGAAAGGCCAAAAGTTTCTTGGATGCGTCTCGGAATCTCTTCGGATTTCTTCCGACAGTTTCGGGGGGTCTTCTTGTGACGTCTCGGGGATTTTTTGGCAGTCCCGGGGGCCTATTGGGGCGTCTTGGGTGCGGGGGGCCTCTTGGGGGTCTCTTGGGAGCCTCTTGGGGCATATAGGGGATGTTTGGTTTTTTTTGTGGCCTCCTGGGCACCTCTTAGGGTCGTCTTGGGGCACCCTTGGAAGCCTCGGGGGCCACTTTGGGGCCATCTTGGAGGAGATCGATCAACGGAAGGGGGTTCCTTATGGCTCTCCCCCACGAGGCCAACATGTGGCGAACACCTTAGTACAAGTCAGTGATGTTGGTATTCTCGCCGGGGCCTCTTGGGGCGTCTTTGCTGCCTCTGTGGGGCCTCCTGGGGCCTCTTGAGGGTCTCCTGGGAGCCTTTTGGGGGCATCTTGGGGTCCCCTTCGGGGCCTCTTGGGGCCTCCTGGGCGCCTCTGGTGGCCGTATCCTGAATCGTGCCAGACTGCCGGGACACCTCCTTTCCTTGCCTTTTCAACGCCGCGAGTGAACGCAGTGCCTTAAATTATTGAGACGAATGTGCGCGGCGCTGAGGCGAGAGCCACATTCTGAAAAAGGGAGCCGCCCTCCATCCGTGAAGCCCTTGTGGGTGGACGTGCGCGGCGCCACGGCGAGAGCCACGGTTTGTAAACGACCTTGCCCTCCAGATGCGAAGCTCTTGCAAACGGTAGACGCACGTGCGCGGCGCTGAAGGCGAGAGCCACACATTGAACACGACCCGCCCCCCAGATGCGACACGGTTGCCAACTGTTCAGACGAATGTGCGCGGCGCTGAAAGCGAGAGCCGCGTGTTGCAAACGGGGCCGCCCCCCGTCCGTGAAAGTGTTGCGAGTCCTCAGCTTGAACGCACCAGCGGTGAAGAAGTCTCAGTCGAAACACCAGGCCCGCCCGACCGACACGTCTTGGTCTGCGGCCCTGGAAAGATTTATGTATCAGGAGTATGGATGGAGGGAGGAGGAGGAGGTGGATGAGAAGGTTGAGTGAGGAGAAGGGGACGGAAGAGGAAGACGAGGAGGAAGAGGAGGAGGAGGAAGAGGAAGAGGGGGAGGAGGAACAAAATCAGGAGGAGGAGGAGGAAGAGGAGGAGGAAGAGGAAGAGGAAGAGGAAGAGGAGGCGGAGGAGGAGGCGAAGGAGTGAGAAATCGGAAAGGGGGAGGGGGAGGAAGAGGAGGAGGAGGAGGAGGAGGAGCATCAGCAGCAGGTGAGGTGATGACAACAAGAGAAGGAGGAGCATGTGGAGCGTAGGTAGAGGCGTTGGCTCCTCCCCAGGACGGGAGCTTCGCGAGGCGCAGCATGTTCGGCCACCCCTGCCAGGGGGGCGGGGAGGGCGGCATTCTCCGCTGCCCCCTCGACACGCCCGTCATGTGTGCAAACAAGCGCTGTGGAGGGGATCCGCTCGGCTAGCGTCGAATCCTTCAACCCCCAAGAGGGAGGCGGAGGAGGAGGAGGAGGAGGAGGAGGAGGAGGAGGCGGAGGAGGAGGAGGAGGAGGGAGGAGGAGGAGGAGGAGGAGGAGGAGATGATGAATTCGAAACAACGGCATAAACATAACCTTCGGAGGTCACGAGAATCTCTGCGAGTCGGCGCTGGAGCTCCCCTCCCCGGCGCGAGAAGCGCGCCAGGGGCGGCGCCATGGGGCGCCGCCAGCCGGCGGTCCAACGCCGATCCAAGAGATCCGCGGGGACAATCAAACGTGTAGCTTACGCCGTGCTTGTTTTTTTTTTCCAGGGGGTCGGAGGGGTAGAGATGGATGGACGGACGCAGGGAAAAGGAGGAGGAGGAGGAAAAGGAGGAGGAGGAGGAGGAGGAGAAGCAGGAGGAGGAGGAGGAGGAGGAGAAGCAGGAGGAGGAGGAGGAGGAAAAGCAGGAGGACGGAGGAGGAGGAGGAGGAGGAGGAGGAGGAGGAGGAGGAGGAGGAGGAGGAGGAGGAGGGCGCGTGCGCCCGAGCCCGCCGCCGCCGCACACGGCGAACGGGCAACCAACCAGCGGCGGCTGCGTTTCGCCGATGCCCAGCCCGACACCCAGGACTCACCCCCCGACGAGGCCAGCACCCATAGTCCTACCAGTTCGAAGCAACAAGCAGACACTGCCGCCACCAGCCACCCACCCACGCATAGATGGATGACAACCGAGGGCAGGGAACGACTGCACCCTGCGGCGACGACCCCAGCCGAACACTCGGTCAACTCCGACCCCCGACCCCGCGCTGACTGCACACTTTGACCACCCCTGAGTATGGGCAGCCGGCCCGTGGTGCGGGCCCAATTCGCTCCAGGTCGGCCCTCCAGGGTGACGCCCGAGGGGCGGAGGGCCTGAAAGTGACGGGGAAGCAGCGGTAGTTGATTGATCCACTCCTCGCGGACCTCCCCATGCCAGCATGTGTGTGTGACGTCCGCTCATATCTCTATGATATCCCTATCTACTGCCGACGTCTCGGCTCAGGTGCTGGTATTAGGTACAGCGCCGCCTGTCCGCGGCGCATGGGAAAAGGGATCGCGACCCTCTCCCTTGCCTGCCTCTGCCCACGGGAAATCTAGCAGGTTCAACCCTGTGGTCGTCAACCTACATACACAGCAGGGTTGCCTGGCCCAACAGCGCAGTTGCCCAGGTGCGGCCAATAGCCGTCATCGTTGGCGTTGTTGCCCTCTTCGTGGGTGTACCCGTCGGCATGTTTATAGCTGGGGGCGCGGAGGCGCCATGGCTACCTCGGCCTTTCGCGCGGGCATGGAGGTACATGTCTGCCCTCCAGGTGGTAGCCTGGGACGAGCAGCTCTTCTCCGGGTGGCTGGAACGTGTGAGCGGCGTGCCGATCCTTTCTGCTTCTTCTGGCGCCCTGTTCGTTATTTTGGCCCATTTCCAGAGCGCGGGAGCTCCGAGTCCCAGGGCGCCGAGAATTCACACCGGGGTGCTGGGTGGGTGGTATGTGGGACCTCGGCATTGTAACTCGGGGCACCTAGGCGATGATCGCCGATTGAGTTCGTACGCCCGCGCTGGTGACCCAAGCCTCGCACAGTGCACGTGTTTCGACAAGGACTTGGCGAGGTGCGTGGCCATCGCGTTCAGAGGTGACGGCGCGCCGAGGCGCCTGCAGTCGGCGGGGGCCCCAGGGTATTGGACCGCCGCTCGCTTTCCATCTTACTCCCCCCCCTTCGCACAATCCTCCTCCGTTCCCTCATGCCCCCCACGAGCATGCAAGCACTGTTTAGGACAACCACTGGTGCATCACCTTTCGCTCCCAGTGTGTTGCATCGCGCGGCAAGCGCACAACCCTTCTTGCTTCCAGTGTGTTTCATCGCGCGGCGCAGGTATCCCGTCACCGTCAACGGTTCCACGGGGGGAGCTGCAATAGATAGTCGTAGCGTCTGGAAGGTAGTTTTGAGCGGCCGGGGCTGCAACAACCCAGAAAACGAATGCACGCAGATTAGCAAGATGTCGGAGCCTGTTGCACCAGATCGCCTCGCAGCCTTCATTGGCTCAAGCGGCTGTCTTCGTGGACGGCACGGGGTGCTAGCAGCATACCGGGTGTTCACGGAATCCACCAGACCTGCACTTGGACAGAGGAGGAGCGAGCTGTTCGCACAAGGTTGGAAGAACAGCTCAGCGCTCCGACCACGATTGTTTTCTCTTGCTCCTCCTCCTCCTCCTCCTCCTCCTCCTCCTCCTCCTCCTCCTCCTCCTCCTCCTCCTCCTCCTCCTCCTCCTCCTCCCCCCCCGTAGCTCCCTTGACCGCCCCCGGCGGACCACCAGTTTGCACTCCTTTTTCTGGCCCCTCGGCCTGCTCGCCCCCGCCCATTGCCCCCCCCCCTCGGTGGTCCACCCTGGGGGGGTCAGCTCGCCCGCGGCCAGCCATCTACGCGTCCCTCTTGTCCCGCCTCGTTGGCTCGGTCCCCCCGGCCTCCCGTTCGCCTCCAGTCTACGCGTCCTTCTTGTTCCTCCTCGTTCGATTTGCCCCCCGGGTTCGCCTTCGCTTCGGCCCCCCTTCGTGACGTCCCCTTTCCCGCATCGTCCCGCCTGCTGGCCCCGCCACGATCGTATATCTGATCCCAGAAGTGATCCCCCCCCGCACACCTGCACGGCGGTTCGGGCCGGGGGCCACGGCCGCACACTTGACCGGCAGGACAGAGGCCGTCAGCCTGAGCCTTATCGCGAGGAGGGGGAGGAGGACGACGAGGTCAGAGGTTCGGAGGCGGACGTGGTCTACAAGACTACTTGAGCCGTAGCCGCGTGCGCAAGCGGCCCCTGGCGCCGCACACGGCCTGCCCTGCGGCACGGCCCGCTCGGCGCGGGCGTGCGGAGCTGCGGAGTCAGCGTGCGGCGGCGGCAGGTCAGAGGTTGCAGGGCGCAGGGTGGCGTCGCTTTCTCGCCGCCCGGGCGGCCCCCGAGCCAACAGAAGGACCACGCCGAGGCCCCCTTTTCAGGCAGGGCTCACTTCTGCCCAGACCTCCGCAGGCCTTCCCACATTCAGATTCGCCCATGCTCAGGCACATCCATGGTCTGATCTACCCGCACTCAGTTCCATTCCTTCTCGTGGCAGTTTAGCCACCCAGAGGAGTCGGTGTTTCACAGGCCAGTCCGTCTCCCGACTGGACATGTGTGGAGCGAGGCGCCACTCCCCTCTGCTCTGGACGCGCGTCTTGTCAGACAGAGCCCTGTGGTCACGGCGACGCATCAGGGATGAAGCTCGGGCCGCCCAGGAGGCGGTTTTTTTTCCGAGCCTTCACCGCGACGCAGCAGACGTGGCCCTCGGGCCTTCCAACGGGGGCCGCCGGGGAGTTGCACGACGGACCCGTTCGCCGTTTGTGGCACTGGGCGCGTGCGCTTTGATGGGGTCACGACCACAGCGATACAGTAATCATGGCAATCTGACGTTCCGAAGGGGGAACCTCCAGGTCACTTAGACCCGTTCGCACTCAGGCCTGCCAGTGTTTAGACGAGCAAAGGGGAACACTCCAAAACCTGACATGCACAAATGAGGGTGTGCGCGTCGAGTAACCCATCCCAACCCATTTTCCATTGTCCTGGGGCCCAGTGGGGACCGCCAGAGGCCAAAACTTAGAAACAAACATACCATCTTGTTTTTTTCCCGTCGGAAGGTGGGGAATCAAGGGGGAATGGGAGGAGGGGAAACACAAGCAGGAGGATAATGAGGAGGATGGCAGCATGGGGGAGAAGGGGACGGCACAGAACATCAGGAAGAAGAGGAGGAGGAAGAGGAGCAGGGGGGATGATGCTGATGACGAGGAGGAGGACGAGGAGGAGGAACAGGAAGAGGAGGAGTGGGGGAAGGAGGAGGAGGAGGAGGAGGAGGAGGAGGAGGAGGAGGGAGGAGGGGGAGGAGGAGGGAAGGAGGCGGAGGAGGAGGAGGAGGAGGAGGACGAGGAGGAGGAGGAGGAGGAGGACGAGGAGGAGGGGAGTAGCAGGCGGAGGACGAGGAGGCGGAAAGGGAGGGAGGACGGGTAGGAGGAGGATGCGGGAGGAGGAGGGGGAGGAGGAGGACGAGCAGGAGGAGGAGGAGGAGGAGGAGGAGGAGGAGGAGCGGAAGAAGGAGGAGGAAGAGGAGGAGGAGGAGGAGGAGGGCCTCACGAGCCTGTGGCCCTGGCAGCGCTGGTGGACTACTGTTGCGTCAAGAAGGGCGCCGATTGCGCCAAGAAGGACATGGGCGGCATTCGCGAATGCGGTGCTCCCCCCTCTCCCCCCGCGAGCAGTCGAGGAGGAGGAGGAGGACGACGACGACGTCGAGAATACATGCCCGCGCTCTCATGGGCTTTGACCGAACGCATCGCGCGAGCGTTCTCATCAGCGCGCGGGCTGCTTCGCGACCTGGGGAGGCACGTTCTTGTATACGCGGCTGGGCGCGTACGCCTTTTGTTGGGCTGCCCGATTATCTTCCTGCCCGCGTGAAGAAGAAGGGTGAGGAGGAGGAAGAGACTGAAGAGAAGGACAATAAAGAAGATGACAATGAGGAGGAGGAAGAGGAGGAAGAGAAGGAAGAGGGAGAGGGAGAGGGAGAGGAGGAGGAGGAGGAGGAGGAGGAGGAGGAGAAGGAGAAGGAGAAGGAGAAGGGAGGATGATGAGAAGGAGGAGGAGCAGGAGGAGGAGGAGGAGGAACAGCGCGCGAGGAAGAGGAAAGAGGGGACGAGGCCTTATCCTTGGCGCCCGACTCGCTTCCTTACGACTGACAAGGTTATTCAACATCAAGAGTGCAACGATCAAACGCTAAGAGGGCGATCAGGGTAAGTGGGACGATGAAGCTGAGGGCAAGTAAGAAGGAGGAGGTGGATATCTGAAGCGGAGGAGGGATGATGGTGAGGGGTTCTAGGGACAGCGCGTGGTGGTCCAGGATTCCGGTTTTTAGCATGTACTGGTCCGTTCTAGGGGCATTTCGGAGGAAGCAGGATGTTGCTGATCATGCTGATGGTGATGATGATGACGACGATGGTGGTAGTGGTGGTGATGATGTTGATGATGATGGTGATGGTGATACTGCTGATGATGCGGATGATGATGATACTGCTGTTGCAGGTGCTGATGTTGATGCCACGTATGCTGACGATGGTGATACTGTTGCTGCTGCTGATGATGGTGGTGATGCTGATGGTGATGATGATGGTGGTGGTGGAGGTGGTGGTCCTGGTGATGACGATGGCGATGACGATTGCGGTTGCGATTCCGACTCGTGTGATGATGATGATGATGCTGATGATGTTGACGATGATGATGATGATGATGATGATGATGATGATGATGATGCTGATGCTGATGCTGATGCTGATGATAGCGATGATGGTGATGCTGATGGTGATGACGATGATGATGATGATGATGTTGATGATGATGCTGATGTTGATGTTGATGCTGAGGATGGTGAGTAAGCTGGCGATGCTGATGCTGGTGGTGCTGATGATGCTGATTGTGATGATGATTCCACTTATGATGAGTATCATGATGACGATGCTCATGATGCTACTGATGATTATAAGGATGCTGATGCTGGTGACGATGATGCTGATGATGATTATGTTGTTAATGGTTATGATGATGCTGATTATGGTGATGATGATGATGATGATGCTGATGCTGATGCTGATGCTGATGCTGATGATGATGCTGATGATGATGATGATGCTGATGATGATGATGATGATGATGATGGTGATGATGATGATGATGATGATGATGATGATGATGATGATGATGATGATGATGATGATGATGATGATGATGATGATGATGATACTGATGCCGATCATGCTGATCGGGGATGAGGATGGTGTGGATGATCATGAGGATGATGATGGTGGTGGTGGTGACGATGGTGATTGTGCGGTTGACGAGGAGGAGTTGGTGGAGTGGGTACTGAGGGGCGGGATTACGGGGGGAGGAACAGGGAAATAATCGTGAAAAGAAGGAGGAGGGCGGATGAGGAGGATGAAGCGAGGGGTCAGGAAGGGCAAGGGAGGAATGATGAGGAAGAGGAAAATGACAAGGACGGGGAGGAGAGAATGAGGGAGGGAGGGAGGGAGGGGCGGAGGGATGAGGAATTCGCCGGCCCAACGGGCCAGAGGCGTGCTAAGATCTCCGTTAAGTACTCAAACAATATTTCTAGTTCGCGCGCGCGGGGCGGCCCCTGGGGGGCCCCGGACGAAAAGTACCCCGGCCGAACCCCGGCTGACCCCCGGGCGATCCCCAGGGGGACGAAGATCGTGGCCTCCGAGGGGGGGACTGCCAACGACTACCCCTTCTCCCGCCCCAAGGGGCCCCCAAGAGCCCCCCAAGAGGCCCCAGGGGAGCCCAATACGCCGCCAAGGAGCCCCAAGAAGCTCCCAAGAAGCCCCCAAGAAGCCCCCAAGACGGCCCCAAGAGGCCCCAAATAACGCTCCAGGGCCGGCGGAATGAGCGAAGCGATTAAATAAGAACAATGGGGATGGGGAGGATGCGATTCGCTTGATGGGCAAGGTGGGCAGGGCAAAGACGATGATGATGATGATGATGATGATGATGATGATGATGATGATGATGACGATGATGCTGATGCTGATGCTGATGCTGATGATGATGATGATGATGATGATGATGATGATGATGATGATGATGATGATCCTGATGAGGATGAGGATGAGGATGATGATGAGGATGAGGATGAGGAAGAGGAGGAGGAGGAGGAGGAGGAGGAGGAGGACCAGGTGGAGGAGTACGAGGAGCAGCAGGACGACAAGCAGGTGAAGGATTATGAGGGCTAAGAGGAGGAGTGACCCAGACAATTGGGTGATCGGGAGGAAAGGGAGGAAGAGGAGCGCACAGGTGTGCACATCTCTGACCTGTACAACGAGAGCTGGCTTTTCAATCAAGAGTTTCGACAACTTGGCTAGCCGGTCGACCGATCCACTGGCCGCGCTGTCGTGGATCTCGCGCCTGTGGCGCCTCCGCCCGGAGACGATGCTTGGCGCAGCAGTCGCCGCCGCCTGCTCCCGAGATGGGAGGCAGGAGCAGGAGCAGGAGGAGAGGATCTCATCACGAGGGGGGGGCCCACCCTGCGGCGCTCTCGTGGGCCGCCTCGGACGCCGTGTCGAAGATCGTCCATCGTCGCTGTCGCCGTCGCCGTCGCCGCCGCCGCCGTCGTCGCCGCCGTCGTCGTCGTCGTCGTCGGCGTCGGCGTCGGCGTCGGCGTCGGCGTCGGCGTCGGCGTCGGCGCGCACCACTGCGAGACATCCCCTGCTCGGCTCGGCGGGAGGCGGCGGAAGTGCAAGCGAGACTTCGACAAATGCTTGGCTCCAGGAGTTCCTGAAGCGCCCACGGGGCGCGACCGGCCTGGGGCGAGAGTTGGGTGCATGTGAGGCCGGATGGCTTCCCCTGGCGCGCGGCCCTTCTCTGCACGTGTATGCAGCGCTCGGCCTCCAGGTGTTCCACATGTGAACGCAGCCGCGGCTGTTGCCAGCCTCCTCGTGCATGTACGTTCTGGAGCGTCCGTTCAGCGTCTCGCTCCGCCAGCTCTGGCCCACCGCGGCGGCGGAGGAGGAGGAGGAGGGGGGGGGACAGGAGGACGGATGTGGAGGAGGGAGGAGGAGGAGGAGGAGGGAGGAGGAGGAGGGGAGGAGGAGGAGGAGGAGGAGGAGGGAGGAGGAGGAGGGAGGAGGAGGAGGGAGGAGGAGGAGGAGGAGAGAGGCGGAGAGGGGAGGAAAGGCGGAGGAGGATTTGGGAGGGATGGGGGAAGAAGGATGAGGAGTCACTTCTGCAGGCTCTGCGGTCAGGAGCATTTGCTTGGCGTGTCGCTCCGCCAGTTCTGGCCCACCACGCTTCGACGCGGAACGCTGAGCACGTCCCAGTCCCAAAATATCCACGCTCCGAGCTTTTCCCAGCCGGTCGTCCCGAGAAGCAGAGCGACACGATACCAGCTTGCAAGGCATGGCGCGTCGCAGCGGCCGCCGCCGCGATACGCTCAGCAAGCGTTCCAAGCCGCATACGGGCGCGGGCCGACGTTTCGACCGTTTTCATAGATGTTGACACACTGCGGTCGGCCTTTCGGAGGATCGCGCCAGTTTTCGACCGAAGTCTGAGCAGACGCTTTTTTGGCCTATGGCTGCTTCGCAGTCTCAGGGAGAGCGCGCGCGCCCTACCCGAGGCCTAGTGGCAACGTGGCCGCCGCAGAGCCACAAGTAGAGACACTTTTGAGTAGCTGGTAGCTCTTGCCGCATGGGGCCTCCAGGCTCAGCTGGTTGCTTTCGGGCTGCATGTCGTCGTGGCGCTTATCCGTACCAAGCCGTACGCTGGCGCTCGAGACCGGAGACTGCAGGCCCATACTGCCTACGTATCGTGCCGTCTCCTCGTCCACCTCGTTAATTATCCTCCCCTCCTCCGTCGTCGTTCTGGCTCGAGCAACACCTGTTCAAGCGACTAAACCTATCCCTCGATGGGGTGCAGGCAGCCAGCACCACTGATGGCTGCCCAGCCCGGCGTGATCCATCGTTCCGCGTGCCTGCAACTATCCCTCGGAGCTTCCTGCTACCACGGGCGGCTTTCGCGGACAGCCTCGACACTCTCACACGCCGCGGCGGCGCGTGGACGCAGGTGGGGCGAAGGATGAGGGAGGAGGTGGAGGAGGAGGAGGAGGAGGAGGAGGAGGAGGGAGGAGGAGGAGGAGGAGGAGGAGGAGGCGGAGGATGAGGAGGGAGGAGGAGGAGGAGGAGGAGGAGGAGGAGGAGGAGGAGGAGGAGGAGGAGGAGAGGAGGAGGAGGAGGAGGAGAGAGGAGGCGAGGAGGAGGGGAGGAGGAGGAGGAGGAGGAGGAGGGAAGGGGGGAGGGAGGAGGTGAAGGAGGAGGAGGAGGAGGAGGAGGAGGGAGGAGGAGGGGAGGAGGAGGAGGAGGAGGAGGAGTAGGGAGGAGGAGGAGGAGGAGGAGGGAGGAGGAGGAGGAGGAGGAGGAGAGGAGGAGGAGGAGGAGGAGGAGGGGAGGAGGCGGAGGAGGAGGAGGAGGAGGAGGAGGGGGGGCGAAAAAGGCCGAGGAGCGTGCCCGAGGTCGCTGCGCCGAGCGCGCGGGCTGGGTTCGCGCACGGAGGTTGCACTGGTCGGCCCCCGAGCTGGTGCGCCGCCGGGAGCTCCCCTCGACGCCCGCCGGGAGGGTCGCCAGAGCCACGGTCGTTGGCCCCGATCGGGAGCCTCGAGACGGGGGTCCCAGACCCTCGACGTCATGATTTTTTATGACGCGACCCTCTGCAGAGGTCTCGACCCATTTCCCGGGACCAGTTTTTCATCCCGAGTCGTTTTTTGACGGTCCCGCGGTCCAGTGAGGGCCCTCAGAGGTTGAAGATAGCGAAAAACCTCCCGTCCTGATTTTTTCATGACTCGAGGAGGTCTGGGGTCAGTGCAGACGGGGGTCAGCCAGGGCGCCGGATCCTGCAGGATCCTGCGAAGACCCCCTTTGGCCGACCCGGGTTGGCGAGCCGCTCGTGGCCGCGGGGCGGCCGCGCCTATTGGCTGACCCGGGTTTGCGAAGACCTGCGTTGCAGTTTTGTTTCCTGCATTGCAGTTTTTGGTTTCCTGCTGACCGGGGTCTGGAGTGACTTGGGTCAGAAGATCCCCGACCCGAGGACGAAACGACCCCAGACATGATCGCGTCGTAAGAAAATCGGGACGGGCGGTTTTTGACCACTTTCGGCCCCAGGGGCTCTCGCGCTGGGCCTCGGGGCCGTCGGAAAACGACGCGGGACGAAAAACCGGTCCCAAGGAAAAGGTTGGGATTTCCAGGGGCGCCGTCCTGACAAAAATCAGCACGTCGCATGTATGGGACCAGGAATGGAGCCGTGGTTCCAATTCCAATGACACGGTTGAGGCAATGAGTGTGTGACGGCCTCAACGATGGATACCAGCATGACTCATTCAGATCGGCCATTCGACGACGACGTCGACCACGATGAGGCAAGCTTGGTGGCCCTCGACTCGAGAGTGCAGTCACAGTCGCACCCCATCAGGGGCAGACCAACCAGATAGCGCAGCAGGTGCAACCAATGACAGCTAGCTGAACCAGCTCAAGTCCGAGTGCGAATTCTTGACGTGGCATTGTGGAGACAACGAGTTCACGCGACGCTGGCCGGTGACAACAGACTGCTACAATATCCCCACCGTTCCATCCGCACCAGTTCGCAAAAACAGCTCGCGGAGCACATTACCATCACGTCGTACCTGCGCACCCACATTTGCTTCAAGACGCGGGCCCTACAGTCCGCGCTGCTGCCGAGAACCAAAGGATCACGTTCCCAAGCGCGGGCCGCGGCGCGCCGGTTCGCCGAGACTGCTGACCCCGCAGTGTTGCAACAGGCCGGCCTCAGGAATGGCCAGACGCGTCAAACCCGCGCGGGGCAACATTTGCCCATGGACGTGCAAGGCCGCCACCACAACCTCGGCCGCGTAGTCGACCCCATCCGGGGCACCTTTCTTCACCCTCGCGCGCGGCCGGCGGAGCGCAGGCCTGGCGCGCGCGGCCCGAAGGGGAAGTTCCACCTGTTCTACGCCACAGGGCGCGCCCACCAGTGTGGAATGCGCCCGAGGGCCCCCCCCGCAGCGGAGAAGGTCGCCGCCGAGGAGGAGGCGCTGAGCGCGCGGGGCTTATCCGCCGAGCAGGCCCGCCGCATCTTCAACGCAGCGCCTCCTGCCGCCCAGCCTGCCCAGCGGGCGGCAGGACCGGCGTTGCCCGGTTCGCCCAGGACCTCCGCGGCCGGGTTGCGCCGGCAGCGGGGGGCCTCGCGGCATCTCGAGAACGGGGGCGCCCACGCGGGGGGCGATGACAAGGGCCAAGTCGGGCGTGCCCCTCTACGGGGGGAATGTTCAAACATGCAGAAAAATTAATGGGGGAATGTTATATATATATATATATACATACATACACAGATTGTGGCATGTTTGAATTCGTTTCTGGGGGATTCCTTGTGTTTCGTCCGAAATCCGCCCGCGGGGGGGACAGGCCCGACCTGAGACAGGGGGGGGGGATGCGCATCGCGGCCAGGGCCGTGCCATCTCCTCAGATGTCACGCCCCCTCTTATTGTTTCACTGCGTTCCCTGGGCCCCCCCCGGCCCCCGCGGCCCGCGCGCCTGCCTCGGGCCGCGATTTGCGACCCCCCCTCTCGGGCGCCTCCCTGTCGGGCGCCCCCGTCGATGACAGCGGGGGGTCTCGTGCGAAAGGGGCCCAGGGGCGCAAATCAATGCGCGCAACTCCCAGGATCGCCTATCTTTCCCCATATCTTCTGGGTTTTCGCCCCCCCCCCCCCCACCCCCCCCCCCCCCCCCACCCCCCCCTCGCGCCTCCCCTCGCGCCTCCTATATTTTCCAGAGTTCTCTTGGGGGTCGACGATGAATTGCGTCTGCGTGTCTGCCCCCCCCTGGTCGCGGCACCTCGAGAGGCGCTGCCCGCCGTTCGCGCCGAGGGAGAGGGGCGCGAGCCGGCCCGTCGTCGACGGGGGGTTTGCCAGTGGCGGCGGCGGCGCAGAGGCCGGCGGGGGGGGCCCGCTCCGCC